TAATGCACACAATCAAACCCAGCCAGCTGAGCTTCGAACACAATCGTTGTGCAGCTTTTAGGCAATTTTTTTGACGTCGGTAGTGGGACCCATGATCACGAACCACCGCCTAAGATACCTACACCTCATAGCACATCCAATGAACGGGTCTTTCCCATTGTCGCCTGGACATAGTTATTCATTCAGAAATCGAGAAATGAAACCTAACCTGCACGAAGGAGAATTTGTACCATTAGAGTGAAATTAATGGAAGCCCATTGGGTGGTATTTGTAGAGGGGAGTGAGGGCTTTCTGGTGGTATGGAAATCAGGTGGTTTGGACGATGGTTGGTCGGAATTTTTTGGCTTGAAAGGTGGCAGTGGAGAGAGGAGGAAGAGAAGAGAAAGCGTTTTTTTTTGTTATTTTCAATATTTTAAAAATTGGGGACTCATTTGCACTTTTTTAAAAGTTTAGGGATAGGGTTGCAATTTGTTCTGAATTTTTTTTTTTTAAATAAGAGGGTATAATTGTCCTTTTATGTTCCAAAACAGCGAAAAGGACCTTTAACGCAACGAAAGATTGAAATAAGGGCAAAAATGTCAAAAAATGAAAGATATGGACGTTTTTCACAATAAGCTTGAAAGGTAAGGACGTTTTGTGTCAATTACCCATTTTCACAATGTAATGTAAAAATAAGGGTGATAATACCAAAAAAAAAAAGCCAGAGACCTTTCGTACTAATTATCTTTTTAATAATTTATTTGGAATCATTTGCATTTAAAGTTTGGGATTATAATTACAATTTGTTATTTATTTTTTCTTTCTTTTTTTTTTTGCGCTAATAACTTTTCATTTTTTATTGTGAAAAACGTCATTTTCATTAATTTTTATCTAATTTCTCAATAAAAATATATGAAATGACAAATATATTCTCATATTGAAATAAAATAAAAATAAAAAGATAAAGATAAAGAACTAATTGCAATCATACTCCAAAAACCTTCTTAAAAAGTACAAATGAATCCAAAAAATCGAAGTTCCAAAAAATCTCAAGCATTAGAGTTTCAATATATTCCGAACTTCTTGGCATCAACAAGATCATCATCTTCTCTTTCTTGCAGTTTCATTTGTTTTCAGATTGGTATTTTGGTTTCCTCTATATGTTGTTGCTTGTATTATCAATTTTGGAGAGTTATGGCTCAATTTTTGAGACAATGGATTTTGATTGAGAACTTGTTTCGATGTTATAGGATCATGAATGGGAGCGCCTTGGGGAGTAGATGTTACCGGTTGGTGGCTAATGGCATGGGTGTTGTCGGAAAGAAGGTTGATACCTTGGTTTTGGTTTGTGAGTTGAAGGTTTTAGGTAACAACGAGGGTCGTATGTGGTAGCGCGTGGTTGGACAGGTAGGCGTGATGTGATAGAGGGATGGAGGTGTATCTGGTGGTTGTGGTGTCTGAGAGGTCTAAGTGGTAGTAGTGTGGAGTTTGAGGTGGTTGAAGGTGGCGGCTTCGTTGAGTCGTCAAGTCGCCAATGTTTGCATGTGTTTGCATTTTTTTTTCAGCCAACAGGGAAATTGGAAGCGGATTGGTTATTGGCTCCACGTTTATGCAATTGTAATCACTATGCAATTGGTGGTGGAGGAGGAGAAAGTGATTATTTTTTAAAAATAATTTATTAGGGACTCGTTGGAACTTTTTAAAAAAATTTAGGAGTATGGTTGCAATTAGTTTTTTATTTTTCTTTTTATTTTATTTAATGATATATTCTTCATTTCACATATATTTGATGGAGAAATTGGATAAAAATTGATGAAAATTACTTTTTCATAATGAAACGTGAAAATACAAAAATTGAAACATATGAACGTTTTGCATACTAAAGGCCGAACATATAGATGTATTGTGCTAACAAGCCAAAATTAAAGGGAACGCTTTATGTTGCATATGAAAAGAGTTATTAAATAAGAAATTGAATGGAAAGTTGCGGAGTTCATAAACTTGCATTACCTCTGCTCAAATAATCGAAATAGAAAATGGGAAAAAATGAATATAAAAATTTGTGTCGATTGGCTCCATGTCTGGAAAATGGAAATGTCGATGGAAGTGGTAATTGAAAAGGCAGCAGGTGCAGGTGAATTGCTGAAAGTGAAACAAAATTGAAATTTAGAAGAGGATTTACAAAAAGTATATATAAAATAAGAATGGAGGGAAATGGAACAAGGAACTGGGGCTAATCTCCGTTCATCTACTGTAAATCTAATCTCATTATATATATATAAATTTTTTTTTTTGTCTCAACCAATTGAACTCGAGAACAAGTCAACATATAAACGTAATACATAACAGAAGTTTAATCCTTCTTTGATTGTGGGTGCAAGAATCTTCAAAAAATTTGCCTCGATTATGCACCTAAAAAATGAAGTCAAGTTTGGTAAGATCATTTTGCATGACTAGATGTTTGCCCTCAAGGAAATGGTTTATGTCATGTTAATGTGTCTTGACATTTTGCAGTGGTTTTTTCAATACACGGCATAATAAATTCAGATGTCGCTTTTGCTTATAATTTCTACTTACGTGTTCATGGTAGGTCAATAAATATTTGATCTGAAATGGATAAAGTTGATAATTGCTATACTATGTTTACTTGTTCAATTTGATAGTTTGGTTGTGCCCCTAAATTCAAAATTTCTGCGTTCACCACTACATAAAAAGTTATAGAACAACATCAGTGTCAAAAGATTCACGGGATGTTCAGATTGACATTTACTTTCCACAAGCTTGTTTCAGGCCATAGTGTTAGCTGTAGGAGGATTTGGGCGTGTCTACAAAGGGTGGATTTCCAAGGGTCAATGAAAATTTCATTTAACTTTACTGAAAACTTGTGAAACATGGATGTGGACATGATGGATGATCTTCAGTTCAAACTCCCACCAAATCACCTGTTAATTTGTGTAGGCTTCTGAATCATATTGGCTTTGCTTCCAGATTAGTGAACCCACAAGTACCCAGGCGCGGAGCCAGCACCCGACGAGGGGGCGCGGCCGCGCGTGCTGGCTTCGCCGGAATCTACAGAGCCGCCGGACAGTGTGGTCGCCGAGTTGCCGGGAGAAGAAGAAGGAAGATGAAACCCGTTATTTTTTTTATTTTATTTTTTTTGGGGCTTTTGCACAAAATGTTAAACTTTGGGGTTGGGCCTCTTATTATTTAGCCCAAATGTCAAATTAATTTATCCAAACCCATTACCCATATTAATACCCATTTACCATTTCATTTGAATTGTTCGTGGTGGCTGCCGGCTGGAAAGTGCAAAATTGTGATTTGTGATTTTTCCCCAATTGCCAACTCATTTTCTTGATTCGGCCTTGCTTCTTCTTTCTCCAAATCCACACCACACAATTTAGGCTATCTCCACCACACTCCAATCTCCAGGAAGCCGAGGCAAACAGGTAGTCGCTGGCTCACTGTAGATCGAAACTGTCGAACTCGAACTCAAAGGCTCGAAGCGCCTATTGCCGCCTGCCGAGTGCCGACTGGTAACTCTTTTTCTTTCCGGCTTTCCCTCTTTATTTTTTTATTTTTTTGTTCTTTTTTTTGTTTTGTTTTATTTTGATTTGGCTATTTTGATTTTGTTACTGTACTCAACTACCTAGTGTCTATTGATTGAATTGTGAATTTATAGGAGAATATTTATTTTTGTAAAATTGAACTGAAATCTAGAATCGGAATCATAACGTTCGATTCCAATTTTTCTATAGTGATTGAATACAAAAGAATCGAAATTTATGGTTCAATTTCAATTCTTGAAATGCCAGATCAAACCACCCATATTGTGATTTGTGAATAGGGTTGGAAGTTGGAACATTATAAAAACCTATATGATTAAACATTATTGGATAAATGATTACTCTAGTTGACTGGTTAGTGGGTAAACAATAATTTTAGTAGAAAGAGAAAAAGGAAACAGATCATAAATTCTTTCGCTCGGATGTGTTATATTTCTTATCGACTACGTTTCTCAAATGTTGAATTGTTCTCAGATAGTTTGTATATATGAATTGTGAGAATTGACTGTTCTATTAGAAAGATATGGCACACAAACTTATTGTGAGAATTCACTGTTCTATTAGAAAGATATGTCTTCATAGAGTAATGGGTGCTGTTGTTGTGTAGAACAATTACTGTAATAATTTCCTCTTGTAATGGCAGATTCACTGGGGTGAAATTCCCTGCAAGTGGTTGATAAAATTTAACCAGAAAACATGATGTTCTTGTGTCCATTAGTCTGATTCTTTGTTGGTTTTATAATCTGTCATCCATGTGTTTTCTTTCCTGTCATGCAAATCTGTGATTGATCTGTCCTGAGAGATGAGAAAAATCCTAACAGGCACTCGTTTTCAACCCGTGTGTACTTGGTTATTTTTTTAGTCAATTGTAATTGAAAAATAAATTGGGACATTTGCAGATTATGGAACGATTTTTTCAACCAAAACGAAAGTCCATACCCAATTCTTCTACTTCTAGTTGTGCATCTAGTCCCGCCACTGATTCTAATCGAGCACAAGAGTTATTGAATAACACAAAGAAATCCCGAGCTCAATTTAATGTGGATGATCTTGTATCTGATCCAGGGACACGTTCCACTATCAAGTTGTATGATTCTAATATCAGAGATGATGTTAGGATGATATACTTGGAGAAGGGTCATTGTCAACCATATGTACATGATTTTTCAAGAAGACCGATGGGGAATGATAATAGATGTTTTCGAAAAGAATGGTTCTCCGAATTTCATTGGTTGGAATACAGTATAGAAAAGGATGCGACGTATTGTTTGCATTGCTACTTGTTCAAACCCGATAGAAGAGGTCAAGGGAGTGGCCATATATTTACTAAGATTGGCTTTAGGGATTGGAAGCACAAAAGGACATTGAAATGTCGGTCTCTTTGATAGTGCTCATAATCAAGCTTTTGCAAAGTGTACCAACTTGATGAATCAAAAGCAAAGTATCTCCTATGTTATGTCTAGCCAAAGTAGTAGTCAACAACAAAGTTATATGACCAAGTTGAATGCGGTGCTAGATTGTACTAGATTCCTCTTGATGCAAGGATTGTCATTTCGTGGTCATGATGAATCGAAAGAGTCTCTTAATAGAGGAAATCTAATTGAGTTACTGAACTGGTATGTAGCTCGTTGTAAAGAAATTAAAGAAGTAATATTTAGTAATGCTCCTAAAAATAACCAAATGACTTTACCAACCATCCAAAATGATTTGATTAATTGTTGTGCCGTAAAGACGACAAAGGCTATTATCAATGAGATAGGTGATTCTTTGTTTTCAATTTTGGTTGATGAGGCTCGTGATAATTCTATGAAAGAACAAATGACAATTGTTTTGAGGTTTGTTGATAAAAGTGGGCAAGTGAAGGAGCGTTTTTTGGGTATGTCCCATGTCACTAATACTTGTGCCCAATCACTGAAGGATGTCATTAATGCAATGTTTTCTACACATGAGTTGAGCATATCTAGCCTGAGAGGTCAAGGCTATGATGTAGCAAGTAATATGTCAGGCGAGTTCAATGGGTTGAAAGCTTTCATTCTAAGAGAGAACCCACATGCTATGTATATTCATTGCTTTGCTCACCAACTTCAGTTTGCAATTGTATCTGTCGCATGTAGGAATTGTATGCTTGGTGATTTGTTTGACATACTTGCTATTATTATGAATTTGGTTGGTGCACCATGTAAGCGTGTAGATGCTCTTCAAACAAGTTATCAAGCTAATATTCTAGAGAAGCTTAATATTGGGAAACTTACTGGTGGAAGTGGTCAGTTTCAAGAAATGAGTTTGGCACGCCCAGGTGATACTAGGTGGGGCTCACATCTACTGACAATTACTCATTTCATTAATATGTTTAATGCTATCATAGATGTTCTTGAAAATATATTAGAAGATGACGTACATTTAGATAAAAAATCTTCGGTCGTAAGACAGATGAACGCTATGTAAGATTTTGAGTTTGTGTTCAGTCTCTACTTTATGTTTGAAATTCTTGCAATTTCAGACGACCTTTCACAAGCCTTACAAAAAAATGATTAGTATATTCAGAATGCAATGAGGTTATTGAATTTGTGTAAGTGTGCATTACAGAACTTAAGAGAGAATGGTTGGGATACTTTGTTAAGTAGGATGATTGAGTTTTGTGTTAATAGACATATTTTAGTGCCCAATATGGAGGATATTGTAGTAGTGAAAGGTCGACCTAGGCTTGTAGCTCAGCAGGTGACTTATTTTCATCGCTTTTATGTTGATTTGTATTGTCATGCGATAGACTCAATCTTGCAAGAGTTGAATGATCGTTTTTCAGAAACAACTACTGAGCTCTTTACTTGCATTTCATGTTTACCAAGAGATTCATTTGCAGCTTTTGATAAGAATAAATTTCTACGTCTTGCTCAGTTCTATCCTTGGGATTTCAATAGTGGAGAGCTTTTATTACTTAGACCTCAATTTGATAAGTTTCTTTTGCTTGTGAGAATGGACAAAGCTTTCTTTAATCTCAATAGCATATCTTGTATAGCTCAAAAGTTGGTTGAAACTGAAAGTTCCTGTTATTTTCCATTGGTTTATAAGCTGCTCACCTTAGCATCGATATTACATGTGACAACTAAAAGTGTTGAAAGGGTATTTTCTGCTATGAATATAATCAAGAGTGATTTACGCAACAAAATGGGAGATGACTGGTTGAATGACAATTTGGTGGTTTACGTGGAGAAAGCTATTTTTAAAAAAACTTGATAATGAGGCAATATTGCAACGTTTTCAAATCATGAGATCCCGCAGAATACAGTTGTCTAAGTTTACAGTTACAGAGTAACTGAGTAAAGTTGTATCGTATTTTTTTTTTTTTACTATTTTGGGTTGTGTTGAAGTATATTTTCATATGTATACGATGTTGACGTTTCAGTTCATTTACATATATATTGAATAACTTTTAATATTATATAACCAATTTTATTAAACGATCAACTATTACGATCGTCGACGGTCAATGGTCAACCCGTCCTAGTCCGATCGTCAATGATCAATAGTCAACGATCAACCCTCTCTAGCTGGACTTCAATCCTGGATTCGTCGTTGCTGGTACCAGTATTAACTACTCAGTACAGGATAGACTTAGAGGCTTGAAGCATCATTTATTATTTCACAATTTTTCATATATATTTCTTTCAAAGTAAAGGAAAAATGACCATGTGAATGGGAAAGAAATTAAGATGGAGTATAGTGAATCATAATTAGTTATTGAAAAAATAAAAGCAAAGATTGTCAGAGAAAATTATCAAAAAATGTATTTTTGAAAAATATTAATGGATCTAAGACTCAAAGATAAAGTATACATAGTATTATTGAACTTGCACAAAAATGATTTAATCTTTATTTTTAATTATTATTGAAAATGCCATTTTCTTTAAAATAAAGAGCATTATTTTAGTTACTCCTGAAGATGCAGTTTTTTTGTTTTTATTTTTTAAAATAAAGAGAATGTTCCATTTAATTGTATCCTATTTTGTGGATTTTATTTTATTTTATTTTTTATATAACTGGTATTTGAATGATAGTACAAGTATCGAGTTCTACTTATCTTTACGTTTTTCTATTTTCCTACTGTATTAGATCTAATATAAGAAAGTAATCATAATAAATCGATGCTATTAGAAGTTGGATAATTTTTATTTGATTTAATAAATTGAAATGATACATACATATTTCGGATTAATATCTACCAAAACATTGACAAACGTTTTTAAATTTTAGAACTAATTTACTTAGAAGTGAATTTAGAAGCATATCCAAACATGTTGCAACTAATTCAACTGCTAATCCTCATTTCCTCAATACCTGCCTCATTATTTATTTATATTTTTCTTTGATATATATATATTTTAATAAATTGAAATGATACATACATATTTCGGATTAATATCTACCAAAACATTGACAAACGTTTTTAAATTTTAGAACTAATTTACTTAGAAGTGAATTTAGAAGCATATCCAAACATGTTGCAACTAATTCAACTGCTAATCCTCATTTCCTCAATACCTGCCTCATTATTTATTTATATTTTTCTTTGAGAAAGATTTTTTTTTTAAAGATTAAGTAAATAATTATTCTTAAGCTGTAGAAACAAATTAGTCATATCAACGCTAAATGCATCATTATCGGCAGCTCACTAGAAAATACTTTGGGTTAAAATAGCAAAGTATTTAGATTAAAAATGTCCATTGTTATAAAAGGCCTTGCAAGGATTTTAGTTTTTTAAAAAATAAAAGAGAGAGAGATTATGGCCAACAAATATTCAATGATGAAACTCAATCTTATACTTAAAATATCAAGTTCTTAGGTTCCATGAGTAAAGTACCTCATATAATTGCAATCACGAATTTTTATCTCAAGGTAAAAGTGTTCGATCAGTAACTGAAAACGATCAGATAAGCTATCTAACTTTTAGTGCATGTTTGGTATTAATTTTTCAACCCAAAAAATAAAATTTTTTTACATTTATTTCACTATTCAAGCTATCATTTTTTACTTTTTCTCTTATATGTAGAACTCACTTTTCTCTCCAACGGTCAAAAAATCAATTCTCAAAATCACTAGTACACTTATATAGAATACTAGGGGTGGGTGCGGGGCGGTTCGGTTTGGTTCTCTTTAGGACCGAACCGAACCAAACTTTTCGGGTATCTAGTAAATGGAATCGTCAAGTCCAAATATAATTATGGAACCGTTCGGGTTCTGTTCGGTTCTGTACTATAATTAAATTTTTTAACATTTATAACAACGTTATATAAATACGACTAATGATACATTCAATGGTTTTGGAATGTCAGAGATTAATAAACTACCTTATTCAAATGATCGTTACGGTCAAAGCTTCAGTCGGCGAAAGTCACGGCTTCGATCGGAGGTCAGAGTGTCGGCCTACGATTGTATAGGTTTTGAAATATTAGCGAGGCTGCGAGAGTGAGTGCGAGAGTCGAGACAACGTTATGAACTTTATTGTAGGTGTTTAGGGTTATTTAGTGGATTTGATCTTGTTTGGCAAAGAAATAAAATAATAAAATGGGTAATTGGGCCAAAAATTAAAAAATTAGAAATGAAACAAATTATTGGGCAAAAAATTTGGATTTAGAAATCATTAATTTGTTAATTTGTTTAGAAAAAATTAAAATTAAAATAATTTGATTTACTCAAT